CTCATCATGGATGCCAGAAAATGTAAGAGTGCTGTGATAGCTGTATGGGTAAATGGAGGCATCTCAGGAATCTTGTATACAGCTGCCACATGTTCTATCACATTCTGTAGAGCCAGAATAATTCACCACTTCTTCTGTGATGTCCCTCAAATAGCGAAGCTCTCCTGCTCCAATGATTACCTTGCAGTCATTGGAGTGGCTGCGTTCACGTCTCTGGCAGCCTCAGCCTGTTTCATCTCCATTGCCCTCTCCTACATCCACATATTCTCCACAGTTCTAAGAATACCCTCTGCTGAAGGCCAGTCTAAGGTCTTCTTTACCTGCCTGCCCCACCTTTTTGTTGTCTCATTTTTCCTGTTCACAGCCATGTGTGCATATTTCAAACCAATTTCAGACTCTGCAACTGCTTTGGACCTCATGTTGTCTGTTTGTTATACAATAATCCCTCCAACACTCAATCCTATGATCTACAGTCTGAGGAATGAAGCCATGAAGGGAGCTTTAAAGAATCTTCCAACTTTAGCTGGAAGATTCACTGAGAAAAAAGGATTCATGTTTTGTTAGTAGCTATAAAATATTGTTTATCTGGAACTTTTCCCTAATTTTAATATCAATAAAATAAATATCAATAAAAAGTAATATTTTTCTGTTGACAAACTATATGATGATTTAAATTATTAAACTCTTCATTCCAATTTCTTTTCCTAAGTCACTGAAATTAATTTTTTTTCCTTTCAAGGTAAATAAAAGTTAACAATGGTCACTTTATATAGGAACAGTACTTCCTAACCATCCCAACACACACACATATATATATGTATCATGTATACATGGACATGCTAACAACCTAAACAGATTTTTTAAACTACAGCATGGGTAAATATGTTACATAAGCAAGAAAAGGAAGTGATATTTATCACTTATTCCACTCACTAAAGAAGACACAATTTTTACAAAATCTTCTAATTTCAAATTTCTATTTTAAAAAATTATATTAATTTTACATATCAATTTTACATATTCATACCAATTTCCACTCACTATTATGTAAAACAACATAACTATTAACTATTCTAATTCTTTATTTTGTATGGTATTTACTATTTAGTATAATTTATGTGAAAATAAATTAACAATTTCAAATGCACTATTTTCAATGATTTAGTCTTAAATAACTTAGTAAAATTTAAAATTCATCTCTTCATAATTAGGGGGCAATGGGAAGGGGGAAAGAAATAAAGAGGTAACAATGCTTGATAAGAAATGTACTCAAAACCTTGCCCATGTGATTGTAATCCCTCTGTATGTTGTTTTCACAATTTAAAAAAAAACTAAAAACAACACACACACACACACACATACACACACACACAAAGAATTGTCAGGAGGGAGAAACAATGCTCAATAGGAAATGAACTCATTACCTCACTCATGTAACTGTAACCCCTCTGTATAGTATCTTTACAATAAAAAATAAACATAAAATTAAAAAATTAAAAAAAAGAATTGTCAGCACATAGGTTAATATTCCTGTGAAAGAACAGAAAAACATAATATACTTAAAATTGGCATCATCCTTTTAAAGTATGTATAAGAAGAAAATTTTACTGCTGTGTTATATGAAAATGTTCTTATTTTTATATTTTACTTTCCCTAGATTTTCAATTATATTTTTATTATCTTCAAGAACTTGTTCAAAGAAGTTACTGTTCAACAAATCAGTTTATATGTACAATACACCTTGATCATTGTCACCCCTTTTATCATTCTCCACACTCCCTCCAAGCCTTCCTCTTCCCCTCAATTTTCTTAGTATCATGTGATATCCCTTAGTAAGCCATGTATTTCTATACCAACTCTTTCAAATATGTTAAGGATGAATTTCTAACACGTGATAGCATGGCTTACAGTATAAGTTACCAATACTTAACCACAGTTGACAAAAAAAATCAGACCTTCTACCATCTCAATACTGTAGTTTATAAATTATATTTCAGAATTTTTAATTATATATCAATTAAATATTTTGAAATAGTTTCTAAAATATTTCTCTTATTTAACTATTATGTCTACAAACCCTAATTTTGAGTAAATAAAATGCATAAATTAGCTAGTTTGTTTTGTCAAACAAATACTTGAAGACATTCAATTAATTTCAATAATCACAGTTTCGTTCCAGGTTTGGACATTTTTCATGCTAAATATGTGATGAGCTAAACATAGTACATTATATTCACAACATACAGTTTTTATAGTTATCATCCATCGTTCATTGCAGGGAATTAATTAAATGCCAGTTGAAGATCCAGAGTGTTAAGTTAGCCAAAGTTTCCATCCTATGTTCTGTATGTGATTTCTCTAACACTTAAACCCATCACCAATTGCTTTATAAATAGTCATGGAGCCAGTTTCAGGCACTGTCAAAAGAATTTTCTCTGAGAATGAGTTCTTCAAAAGTAAACTTTATAGGCACATTCTGATTATTTAAAATGAGGGAAACTATGCAACCTATATTTCTTTGGTCCGGTTTACTTCATTTAATATAATTTTTTCCAAGTCTTTCCATTTTCTTATGAATGGGGCAATGTGATTCTGTCTGATGGAAGCATAGAATTCCAGTGTGTGTGTGTGTGTGTGTGTGTGTGTGTGTGTGTACATATTTTCTTGATGTTTCTCTATTGTGGGGCAGCTGGGTTGATTCTGGATGGTTGTCCTGGTGGCTTTAGTGTGGCCTGGTTTGTTGTTAAAGAACTCCAAGAAATGGAAACAAGAGGTTTTCTTATTGTACTGTTTGTGTTTCTTTTTTGTTGTTGTTGTTTTGCTTTGTTTTTTTATCCTTTTGTCATTGTTTTTTATTTCTGTACTTTTTGTCTTGTATGTAAGTTTATCTGATTTGGGGAGGGGAAGGGGAAGCATAGAAATGGCGGGACCAAGGATGAACTAATTCATCAGTGATATTCACTAGAGGCTATGTTGGAAATAAACTATACAACTTGAAGGGAAGGGAAGACAGGAGGGGAAAAACTGGAAGAGAGCAAAGGAGTGGCCTTCATTCAAAAGGAAATGTACTCTTCTGACTTATACAACTATAATCCCTCTACGTCCCTTTTACAATAAAAATAAAAAAGTAACCTTTAAACTCTAAATGAGTCCTACAATTTAAAAGGCTTTGTTGCTGGGTGACAGTGGCTCACACTTGTAATCCTAACTACTCAGGAGGTGAGATCTGAGGATGTGGGCTCAAAGCCAGCTGGGGCAGAAAGTTTTGAGAGTCTTTGTCTCCAATAAACTACTCAGATAATGCCAGAAGTTTGGTGTGCCTCAAGTGATAGAGTGCTAGCCTTGAACATCAAAGCTCAGAGATAGTTTCCAGGCCCTGAGTTCAAACCCCAGGCCCAGCAATATTAAATAAATAAATAGGGGCTGGGAAGGTGGTTCAGTGGTAGAGTGCTTGCCTTGCATGCATGAAGCCCTGGGTTTGATTCCTCAGCACCACATAAGCAGAAAAAGCCAGAAGTGGTGCTGTGGCTCAAGTGGTAGAGCACTAGCCTTGAGCTAAAGAACTGCAGGACAGTGCCTAGGCCCAGAGTTCAGGCCCCATGACCGGCAAAAATAAATAAATAAATAAATAAATGGCTTTGTTATTTCAGCCCAAATTGGATGTCTTATTTTTTCCCATGCCTCCATTATAATATTTTAATATCCAAGATATAAAAATAATATCCCAAATATAAAATAAGTACTAAGCAACTCTTCAGTTATTACATAATATCCCTTTCTGCCAGTCATGACACTGAATTTAGAGGAAGTTAATGCATTTGTTTCTCAAAGAAAAAGTAGGTTAAGTTGTGGTCCAAAATAACATTTCATCTGACTTACAGCTTATCTATTTATTTCTCAATAAAAATGCTTTTCTGGGTGTTAAAGTATATGTATAATCATCTGTGAAATTAAAACTATATAACTATAATCTACTAGTGAGATAGTCATAAAGCATTTTCTTTTGCATGACTGGATTTTTCTTTACAGTTAGTCATTGGCACATGAAGAATTCAATTCTCTGAATATCTGAGCTCAAATATTGTGGATCTAAAAGTCTGATCATTTTTGTGTAATATTGTGACATACTTCAGAAAAACATAAAAGGGGAGAGGATAAAACTGGATTGGCTTCCTCAATTTCATAGTAAATCAAAGTACATTTTCTAATGTTAATGTGAAGGAGAAATCACTGAATAATAGGTAAAGTGTATATCTAAAATTTTCAACTAATAGTTCTGTTGATATCAACACATAAACACATGAATGAGTTTTTCCACTTGTTTATAAAGATTATCCATTTCTTTTCTTCCAAATGGCAAAAAGCTTTATTATTTTCCTATTTCCAATTATAATCCTGATACTTTGTAAATAGCCATACCTGATTTAATTACGCATATTTTAAAGAATATATCTTCTTTAAACAGGTACACATAACTTGTAAAAACATTCCCAAGCTAGATACAAAGAAAAATGTAATACCTATTTATAAATGTACTTCTTAGTATTTTCATATTCATGTTTATGTATGTACTTATATTGATTTGTAATATCATGCACACAATAATATTTTGGTTTTAATATAGTCATATAAATATTTGCAGATCAATTTGTGATTCTATGCTATGCTTAATCTACATCCTAATTACAAAATTTAAGTTTGCATCATTGTACTTGAAAGACTAGTGCATGAACATCAAAATCCATATTTTTACATATGAACATGGGGTCAATACCTCATTGCATCTCCCTGAGAGCACATTGATCAGAATTATGCCTTATCTCTTGTAAAGCAAAAATTCTCTCATGGAATGTGTTGTTTATACTAAATTGTAATTATGAAAGATGTTTCTCTCTAACTGATAACATTTTAATTTGAATATTTTTATCTTTAAGCAGTTGTACAAATGAGTTTCCATTCACCCAAGCAGATTGTGAATACAGTGCATCTTGATCAATGCCACCCCTTTCAACATTCTTCCCTCCCTCCCCCACTCTCATCCTATCCCTTTCCTTACTTACCTTAATTTTAAGTTATATACTGAATTTTTTGCCATTTAACAAAACCATTTATATGTACAATGCATCTTGATCTATGTCACCACTTCAACATATTCACCTCCTTTCTTTATATTTCCTTACCCCCTTCCTTATATTTCTCAATTCTGTGTTGAATTCTTTCCTGTATTCTCCTCACTTTCTCCTTCATTCTTCTACTCCTTTCCCCTTGGTCCCACCCTACCCTCTTGCAAGTACTAATTTCTGGTCCTTATTTTGTTGAGCTTTGACTTCATCTTTTTAAAGAATTACACTTTTTATGCTCTTCATAGAGTTCGTTATACTTCAGTCAATTCCTTTGTAACCCCTTGCTTACCACCCAGTGTGTTTACTTGTAGATTTATAGTCTCATTCTAGCTACGCAAATGAGGAAAACCATGTAGCCTATGTTTCTCTGGATCTGGCTCTCTTTGTTTACTATAATTATTTCCAAGTCTTTCCATTTCCTCATGAATGGTACAGTATCAT